AGGTGAGAGGAATGTGCAGTCCATTAATGCCACCATCAGAGGAAGTACTGTGTCAGGAGGCCTGAGTTCTGGATTAGCTCTCCTACTGAGTATGAGTGTGATCTGAAGCAAGTTCTTGATCCGAATCCTTTAGTCCTTTTATCCACGAGTAAAACGAGTGCATTAGTTCTAGAGGTTTTCTGACACAGCGCAGACAGGCTAGCTGTCCACCAGTTCCACCCTTCCCTCCAGGTGTACAGGTTGACTACATTTACTGGTCTCCTGTACTGTTTGGCTGGGGAATTGTAACTCAATTCTAGACAGTGGGATACAGAGCAAAGTGATGAAAACAACATCATGGTGTAGCTTCTTAAAATGCCTCACACAGGCTGGCCAAATGGCTCAGTTGGTTAAGAGTTAGCTTAAGAGCGCGAGCTCTGAGCGACAGGGCCACCGGTTCAATTCCCACATGGGCCCGTGATGCTGCGCCCGAGCTGAGCTGCTGCTGAGCTGCCAAAAGGTGGCAGGATGGCTCAGCTGGTGAGAGCACGTGCTCCTAACAACAAGACTGCCTGTTTGATGGTGGACTACGCCAGTCCGCAATTAAGACTGAACTCGGCAGCTAGAGCTGAGCTGCCACCCGATGGCTCAGTGGATAGATCCACTGTGCGCTCTTAACAACAAGGCTGCTGGTTCGACTCCTGCATGGGATGGTAACTACGCCCACCCACAACTAAGATTGTAACACAGCACCTTGAGCTTAGAGACCACAAGCTGCTAGGGGGCAGCCAGATGGTGACTAGTGCTCTCCACAACTAAGATTGAAGAACAACTTGGGAATTGGTCCCAACAAGGGGGAGTTGGTCCACCTCCCCAATTCCTGAACACTGTTCTCCTTCCCCAATTCCTCAATTTAAAAAAATAAAATAAAAAAGACTTAAAAAATAAAATGCCTCACAGGTTTCGAAGTCCCCTCTCCTTTCTGCAGTGACTACAAGGCCAAATCTTAAGCACGACAGAGTCGTAGATCCCTGCATCTTGATGAGCAGGGCACCACCCAGGGATGCTTCTCAACCCACATCAGACTCTAAGGAATAAGAAACAAATTCTCTTTAATGACAGAGATTTGGGAGTTGCTTTTCTATAGCACCTAAGTGATACACTAAAATTTTTTTCATTTCACAAACTAAGTATAAATTAGGATGGAGGCAGTAAAACATACATAATTTCAGTTTAAATTATCAGTCATATATTATAATTCTGAATTGAGGCCGTTTCATCAGTGTAAAAACATTTCTTGTAATGTTTGTCATTTTTTCAGGATGACTTTTAATGGAAGAAGAGAAATATATTGGAAAGTTTTCAGGTTTTCTAGATTGTGAAAATTAGGTTGAAAACTAGAGAAAGAAGATTTTGAATCAGGTAGACTAGGATGAAGTGGCATAGGCATCCTGTGGATGGGCTTGAACCTGCCTCTCCGCAGGTGAAAAGCCACAGCAAGTCTGGAGAGGAGGGTGGCAGGATGAAGGGGAGGCTAAGTGGTGAAATGACTGGGAGATATCACGAGTCCTTTCTGCAACACAGTTGGACAACCCATCCCACTAACTCAGACAAGAACATTCAATTAGTACCTGATTACTGAACCAATCAGGAAATGCTGGGTCAGTCTTCTAAGTTGGATTTATCTTCTCTCTCCCAACCAGTCCCAGAAGTCTACCTATCCCTCTACTCTTGGATACAAGGAATAACCCTCTAGTGCTAAAATTGGGTTTTCCAATTTCCTTGTTCCATCCAAGATCCTGCCCCCATTAAAACTTGAGCTAACTGTGCATAACTCCGTTCCTATGTCTGCCAACCCAAACCCACAGGGAGAGTCACCTCACCTCCCTCTATTTATGTTTGAAGTGATGTCTTTAAAGTGTAAACTCCAAGGCAGCTTTGGATAAGTGATGATGATCACTGCGTCTGGCACTCTGCTCTACCAACAAACATTGTAAAATTAATAATGGTCAGGAAATAAGGTTCTCCATCGAGTAGTGTTTACCTGATGCCCAGTTACCTTGGCAACCTAAAGCAGCAAGAGACACTGATGGCAATGGGACTAAAAAGGCTTAGCAATTACCTATAAAGAGAGAACCTGTTCTCAGCAGTAACTGTGTGGTAACAAACACTCTGCATACTTCCATTTGTTTTCTTATGGTGATTTTATATACATGTATACATATGAAGATGTAAATACACACACAAACACACACACACACACACACACACACACGAGTATTCTCCACAAGAATGATAAACTTAAGAAAACTGCCTTATTCATTTGATACTCTTTATCAAACAACTTTCTATTTTTTTGGCATGTCAAATCTTCATTAAAGATTTTTTAATGAGCAGGTAGAACAAATTAAATCCCAGTGAAACACTTATATTTACAGAAAGGTTTTCTGTGTTTGTGAGCATGTGTGTGTGTGTGTGTGTGTGTGTGTGTGTGTGTGTGTATGTGTGTGTGTGTGTGTGTGTTTCTTTGAAGCAGTTTACAGGGGAAGACAAATTTAAGATAAAGTTGTGTCAATTGCAAGGATTCAGGTTAGACTGGGAATTTCCGATCTGCTCTCAGTCATCTGAGTTCATTTGAATGGAGTGGAAAGAGCCTATGAAGAGGATCTTTTTCTCACCCGTTTCCATGGTGTTGTGTCCAAACTCTGGGTACAGGTGGCCAAGTACAGACAGAAGCAAGAAGGAGTTGTTTTCACAAGGATTCTCTGAGCCCTGGGTATACAGGCAGCCCTCCCCCAGAACCCAGGAACAAGCTCTGCTATACAGACGAGGACCCAGCCTCATCACNCCCCCCCCCCGTCCCTGAGGATGTGGTGGGGAGCAACTCCCACCTTTAGGGAGGCAGGGGCACCCCCGCCCACAGGGAGCGCTGGGCTCTTCTTCAACCCCAGGGGGTCGAAGGGTGGGAACTCCCAGCCCTGGAGTTGCTGGGGAGCCCTTGCCCCCATCAAGGGAGTAGAGGATTCCCCAATCCCCCTGAGGGAGTGCTGAGGGGCCCCTCACTTTTCCAGGGAGGGGACACCAATGGGCTGATGGGATCCCAATGATGGACCTGGGTGGAGTCCGAGTGTTTGGATCTCTTATTCTCTGCTGCTTGCTCCCCAAGTGTCCAAAAACTAGAGTGACAAGGGTTGCTGAGGAAGAAAGCACACAGAGATAGTATTTGGGGAACAAGATAACAAGGAGGGATTTTGTAGATTCCTGCTCTGGTATGGTGGGTTGTACCCCTTGGGGTGGTCTGGGAAAAGAAATTACTCTGATATTGCAAAGATATGCTACCTTAGATGCGAAAAGAGGACAGACAGGCTCACTTAAGGTAATGATTGACATTCCCCAAATGTCGGTCATACCTGTACGGCTTTCATGATTTTTACTATTATCTGAAGACAACAATAATGCCACTGTTTATTTGTCTTCAAATATACTCACTTCTTTATCTAAATTTATTTTTAAAGGATGCTTTCTTACTACCATTAATTAGTAACCCAATCTATACTTGACAGAAGTAAAAATAACCAATAAGGTAAAATTCATAAGGTAATAATTCATTTCACTACTGCACATATCATTACTTGTTACCACAGCTGCTAAAATATAACATATTGTTTTCTATCTATGTAAGCTCTAATATAGCCCATGCAATCCCAGCCTGTTACTGAAGACTACGAAAGTATTACCTTGTTGTAACATCAGCACTGCTCTGATTCATCAATCCCTGATGTGGTGTGACTGTTAATTCAATCTCTAAAAGAAACAACAACAAAAAGACTGTAGAAAATATGTGTTGTTTATATGGAATGTTCCTGAGGATAATATCTTTAAAATGAGACCAAGTCTCTGGAAATCATCTAACGTGTCTTTCGTGAATTCTATTAAAGTTCTGATGGTTCACTTAAAGGGCTATCATTTAAACCATTTATTGCTGTGTAGGTGGCGAGTTTTAAAACATTTAAAAACATTTTCTGAGGCATAAAAAGCTATAGCTCTTTTGGATCCACAACAAAATGTTTATTTTGCACAGCTCATTCTTTCAATATGTATAGAACCCTGAGATGTAGTAAAATGTTTGAAAGTAATTATGAAGGAAAAGAGGAGATTAAGGAACTATGGGGTTTGTTGGCAAAGGTACAAAGAGTATTTTTTCAGAGGGTATTTGAAAATGAACAGAGGACTGATCAGGTACAGACAAAACAGTAAGAAAAGCCTCAGAAAATCTCTGTCCTTTGAGTTACCAGTGCCCCAGGGTAACGCTTTGTCCAGAAAGTCTGTGAGCATCAGTCCCTAGAAAAGAAAAGAGTATATTGTGAACCAGAAGATTTTTAGGACATCCACTAAGAAGACAGCAATTGTAAATTCTGTATATCTTTAAATCTTTATTTCCAAGCATAGGTTCATGGTTATATAAAACACTTCAGCAAATTTAAAGTGAGGAAAATAATATTTTAGGTACTATGCATATTACATATGGAATATGATTTGACTCACTATAACTGGATCTATGAGCTATTTACGCTTCTTAATATTGAAACTTAGTTGCATTCATTTTAAGTACATCTTAGGGAAGTGTGGGTATTTGTTGTCTCCTTCCTTAGCATCCTTTCCCCCTTTTTTCCCAACCCAAAAGGCCTCATTTTCTATAGGAAAACTCATCATCCCCACGTCAAGTTCAGCAGAGCCTCTTACACCTGATTAGTCATTAATTCAGGGATGGGGACTTGAGCTGACAAGGTGAGAGGAATGTGCAGTCCATTAATGCCACCATCAGAGGAAGTACTGTGTCAGGAGGCCTGAGTTCTGGATTAGCTCTCCTACTGAGTATGAGTGTGATCTGAAGCAAGTTCTTGATCCGAATCCTTTAGTCCTTTTATCCACGAGTAAAACGAGTGCATTAGTTCTAGAGGTTTTCTGACACAGCGCAGACAGGCTAGCTGTCCACCAGTTCCACCCTTCCCTCCAGGTGTACAGGTTGACTACATTTACTGGTCTCCTGTACTGTTTGGCTGGGGAATTGTAACTCAATTCTAGACAGTGGGATACAGAGCAAAGTGATGAAAACAACATCATGGTGTAGCTTCTTAAAATGCCTCACACAGGCTGGCCAAATGGCTCAGTTGGTTAAGAGTTAGCTTAAGAGCGCGAGCTCTGAGCGACAGGGCCACCGGTTCAATTCCCACATGGGCCCGTGATGCTGCGCCCGAGCTGAGCTGCTGCTGAGCTGCCAAAAGGTGGCAGGATGGCTCAGCTGGTGAGAGCACGTGCTCCTAACAACAAGACTGCCTGTTTGATGGTGGACTACGCCAGTCCGCAATTAAGACTGAACTCGGCAGCTAGAGCTGAGCTGCCGGCTGATGGCTCAGTGGATAGATCCACTGTGTGCTCTTAACAACAAGGCTGCTGGTTCGACTCCTGCATGGGATGGTAACTACGCCCACCCACAACTAAGATTGTAACACAGCACCTTGAGCTTAGAGACCACAAGCTGCTAGGGGGCAGCCAGATGGTGACTAGTGCTCTCCACAACTAAGATTGAAGAACAACTTGGGAATTGGTCCCAACAAGGGGGAGTTGGTCCACCTCCCCAATTCCTGAACACTGTTCTCCTTCCCCAATTCCTCAATTTAAAAAAATAAAATAAAAAAGACTTAAAAAATAAAATGCCTCACAGGTTTCGAAGTCCCCTCTCCTTTCTGCAGTGACTACAAGGCCAAATCTTAAGCACGACAGAGTCGTAGATCCCTGCATCTTGATGAGCAGGGCACCACCCAGGGATGCTTCTCAACCCACATCAGACTCTAAGGAATAAGAAACAAATTCTCTTTAATGACAGAGATTTGGGAGTTGCTTTTCTATAGCACCTAAGTGATACACTAAAATTTTTTTCATTTCACAAACTAAGTATAAATTAGGATGGAGGCAGTAAAACATACATAATTTCAGTTTAAATTATCAGTCATATATTATAATTCTGAATTGAGGCCGTTTCATCAGTGTAAAAACATTTCTTGTAATGTTTGTCATTTTTTCAGGATGACTTTTAATGGAAGAAGAGAAATATATTGGAAAGTTTTCAGGTTTTCTAGATTGTGAAAATTAGGTTGAAAACTAGAGAAAGAAGATTTTGAATCAGGTAGACTAGGATGAAGTGGCATAGGCATCCTGTGGATGGGCTTGAACCTGCCTCTCCGCAGGTGAAAAGCCACAGCAAGTCTGGAGAGGAGGGTGGCAGGATGAAGGGGAGGCTAAG